GCAACCACTACTACTACGGCTACTACTACTACTAGTAGAACTACCACTACTACTACAATCAGTACTACTCCTACCACAACTACTACTGCTGTCACAACAACTACTACTACCGCTACCAACAGTACAACTGCTACTAGTTTTACTACCACCAATACCACCACTACTACTACTACTACTACTACTACTACTACTACTGCTACTACTACCACTACCACTACCAGCACTACTACTACTACTACTACTACTACTACTACTACTACTACCACTACTACTACCACCACTACTACTACTACTACTACTACTACTACTACTACTACTACCACTACTACTACCAATGATAATAATGATAATATGCTAAGCTAATCCAAGTCACATCAAGTCAAGATAATTTATTTGAACTTGAATTCAAGTTGATTCCAGTCGAATCGATTCGAGTTGATTCGATTCAAGTCAAGTCAATGTATTTTAATTTTATTGAATTTGATTCAAGTTAAGCTAATTCACATTAATTCATGTTAATAACCTGTGGCTCTGGTGGTAGAGCGGGTTGTTGGCAAGGTTGGCGGTTCGATCCCCGGTTCCCCCCCATGCCAAAGTGTCCTTGGGCAAGACACTGAACCCCAAGTTGCTCCTAATGGCAGATTAGTACCTTGCATGGCAGCTCTGTCACCATTGGTGTGTGAATGGGTGAATGCGAAACACATTGTGAAGCGCATTGGGTACCGCTAAGGTAGAAAAAAGCGCGATATAAGTGAAGACCACTTACCATTTAATTCAAGTTCAGTTAAGATAAATTGAGGCATAGTTCAATTGAAAAAAAACAAAAAAACAAAAACACTGCTTTATCTGAGTTTGACTACTGTTGAAAACATTTAAAAATAATCTAAGTTCACATTTTACATGCTGCAGCCAACCGGTGTTGATGAGAGCAAATGAAACGTCACATATTATAGCTGTAACGAACCCTTCCTCGTGTGGTTCTGATGTTCTGTAACTGCTGCAGAACCAAATCTACAGCTTCTGTCTCTGTGTTCGAATACAGTGAAAAGTTGATCTGAAGTTCATTTGAGTTCAAAAATCAAGCGTTTATCTTTCAAAGTTGAACTTTTTCTTCTTTTATCACCAACCTCCTCTACATGTTGCTCCTCTGCAGCTCAGCACAGGAACCTTATCAGAGGAGACAAAAGGAGATAATTCTCCAATAAAGGAACTAAAGTCTCTCAGATCACTTTAACTGATGGACTCAGACGCTGAAGACTCATACAAGCTTAAGATAAACCGTAATAAACACTTTGTGATGAATTTATGTTGCGTTTTGTCGCTTACGCTGTAAATACTTTTCACGGCTGTTGTGAATAAAAAGCAAAAACCTCTTTCCAGGATCATACAGGTGCATTGACTGTTGCTATAATACAGATTTGAATAAAGGTGACTCAATACTTTAACTCAGGACAATTGTAGGTGTGTTTCTGATTGCAGGAATTTGATTTTTTTTTTTTTTTTAAAATTTTGTCAAGTTTTCTTTGCTTAAATGTTCAAATATCAACATTTCTCACTTTGACGACTGTATAATGGCTGAATCCAGTAAGGTACCCTTGAGTCTTGCCATACAACTTTAGTTTTGTTTGTTCCCTGATCCTCTTTTGAATTCTGTAGTTTAAGTGTTTTAATTTAACTTTCTGTTCGGTGCAAGCTATTTTTTAAATTTCTATTTAATAGTAATTGGTCTCACACTTTCCCCACCGTCAGAGCGCCGTGGTTAAATGATATGTTGTCCAGTTTGTCATGTTTTGTTATCATGTTTTGAATGTTGTTCTCTGATAATAAGCAGTTTTATATCATTCAGGGAATGTTTTGGCCATCATGCAAATCAGAATGAAAGCTTTGACATGTGAGTTATTCAAATGTACAACTGTAGAAAATTGGCACAATTTATCAGTTAATGCAAATAATAAAAATATTTTGTATAAAAAAGGGGAAACAAACCAAATTGGATCCGAAGCTGCAATCAAGCCACTGTAAACAGTTACTCTAAGCTCTCATAAAGGCCAAGTGATGAATTAATTCTGCCTGTTTGCATCAGAAATGTGAGGAGAAAAAAAAAAAAAGCTTTATGAGCAAGACCAGAAAAGCAAAAGCAGAGAAATAAAGTTTAACATGGGAACAGATTTTCAAAATAAACCAGCACAAAAAAAGCACCAGTGGATAGAAATATAATAATAAAAGCATCAAATTACAAGAAAAGAACAAATAGAAAAGAAGAAGGAAAGGAGGATGAAACTATAAATATGAATTAAGAAGGGTTGATGGCAACAGCATGGTCACCTTCAGATTTAAGCCTCACCTTAGGACCAGTCAGAAGGTAGAAAAGTACAAAAAAGTAGAAAACTGGCACAATTTATCAGCTTAATGTTACTGTAATAACGAAAAAAAACATTGACATCAGCTGAAACAAATCAAATTGCATCCAAAACGGCAATCAGACTTCTATAACCAGTAAATCTAAGCCTTCATAAAGGCCAGCTGATGAAATAATTCAACCTGTTTGTGTTGGAAATGTGTGAAAAAAGATGCTTCTTCATTAGCAGAGAAAAGAAAAGTCATGAGCCAGAGCGAAGGTCAGGGCCGATTAAAGATGGATGAGGAACCAGTGTCGGGCGGCGGCGGAGGCCCTGAGCCGAAGGTGTCGGCTGCTCAGGTGTCACCGGCTGGTCGGCTGAAGGGAGAGCAGAGAACCGGAGATCAGCAGCTGTGGCCGGATCAGATCACCTGCTGGAGGGACTCAGTCAGCTGCTCACCTGGACGAAGACGCAGGTAAGAGCTCGGTTTAAAGGTTTTAAACGCCTTATCGCATGTAGTTCTCATTGTGTTGTTATTATTGGCGAGAATAAAAGCAGGAAGGAACATTATGAGTCACATTTTTTGGAGTGATATAACTTTATCTGTGTTTTTTTATACCGTGGCAGGTAGTTGAATAAGTAATAGTGGGTAAGATACTCCTATTAAATCTTAAAATGACTCAGAAGTGAACACTAGTGGGAGATATATTCACAACTTAAGCTATTTGATGGTTTTTACTGTCTGCAGCTTTGGTACCACCACATTTCAAAAAGAAATACTGTACTTTCTTTTTTATTTCATTCTTTGCTTTTTACTCCACATCTAAGGTTGCTGCAGAGTCCTGCTGCACTGAGAATACATTTGATCTACTTTTCAAATATAATTGTTGCTTCAGATGGCTTAAAAGTTTCACAATGTCTAACTTGCAAAATTGCCTTCATTAAACCTTCATCAGACAAATAGTTTGGCACAAAAAGAGAAGCCAGGGAGGCACGGGGAGCACAAAACAGTGCAGCAAATGGCAAATAAGAATCATAGATATAACAAAAATATATGTACATAGCAAGGATAAAATCCTAGATTGTGAATGCATAAAGCTCGCTGCATTTGCAAAAAAGAAAAAAAAAATCCATTCATATTAAAAAAATGTTTTACCATTTATTTTCATATAAATGTTCACCTGCAACATTAAAACGCTGAACACTCATTAGCATACCTCCCTCCTCCTGGTGCTTTAATAACAGTTTTATAATAATATTTTTGCACTTTTACTAAGATATATAGCTACTTTTAAGTCAATTAAATATAGTAATATCTTATTCATGTATCGTCAGTATTTTTGGTCACAGGCATTGAGTGAATCATTTCATAAAACTCTTCTCAACAGAGTT